AATAATTAAGTGACACTTAATATATGCCAGGCACTGTTCTAAGTGCTTTAGGTTAACTAACTCATTTAATCCTCAGATTAATCCTATGATGTGGGTACTAATATGATTCATTTTCACAGGTAAGGAAACCGTATCCCAGAACCAGGGCCCCCAGCTGGGCTGCGGGTGAATCAGAATTAGAACTCAGTCTTCCTGCCTCCAAAGTCTGTACTCCCGTCTGTTCACTGCTCTAGTTCCAGGACTTAGTAGAAATAACAAGGAAGAAATAAAGAAATAAATTTTAAAGACAAATTTAAAGAACTTGTGATCAATCCAAAACAACTCCAAACATTTCTGCCTGAAGGAGTGTGAGGAAAGTAGCTTTATTCACTAAAATCACTAACAGGTTGATTTGAACATGTTAAATTTTAGGTGACTTTGAAATATGTTGAGTGAAAATTCCAGCTGAGTGCTGGGAAGCATGGGGATGTTGTATGCAATGCGAAATGACTCAATACATGGATTTGAGACCAATAATGTGAGAAGCGATAATTCCTAACTCTCAATATAAATTGATTTTTTGAGAGAGAAATTTTAGAGGGAAGAGCAGTCTTCAAGAAAATTGATAGTAAAAAGTGAAGAGATGGAAATTTCATAAGGCAGAGTCATGAAGAGAAGAGAACTTTCTTTCTCTTGTCTGATTGCTCTAGCTAAGACTTCCAGTATTATGTTAGATAACAGTGGTGAAAATGGGTATCTTTGTCATGTTCCAGATTTAAGAGGAAACATTTTCAGTTTTTCTTCATACAGTATGACACTAGCTTTGGGTCTGTCATATATGGTTTTATTATGTTGTGGTATGCTCCCTTTATACCCAGTATTCTGAGCTGTTTTTTTTTTTCTTTTTAATAATGAAAGATGTTGATCTTTATCAAATGGTGTTTTGGCATCCATTGAAATGATCGTATGGTTTTTGTCCTTCATTCTGTTGATATGATGGGTCACACTGACTGATTTGCATATGTTGAACTAACCTTGCATCCCTGGGATAAATCCAACTTGGTCATGATGAATGATCTTTATAACTTATTGTTGAAGTTCACTTGCTAGTATTTTGTTGAAGATTTTTGCATCAATATTCATCACAGATGTTATCCTGTAGTTTTTATTTATTTATTTATTTATTTTAATATGCCTTTGCCTGGTTTTGGTATTTAGGTAATACTAGCTTCATAGAATCAGTTTGGAAGTATTCCCTCCTCCTTTGTGTTTTGGAACACTTTGAGTAGGATTAGTATGGGTTCTTCAAATGTTTGTTAGAGTTTAGCAGTGAAGCCATTGGGTCCTAGGCTCTTCTTCACTGGGAGATCTTTTATTATGGCTTCAATCTTATTACTTTTTATTGACCTGTTCAGGTTTTGGATTTCTTCATGGTTCGATTTCGGCATGTTGTATGTTCCTAGGAATTTATCCATTTCTTCTATATTTCCCAGTTTATCAACATATCGCACCTAATAATGATCCTTTGAATTTCTACTGTATCAGTTGTAATGTCTTTTTTTTTTTCATCTCTGATTTTATTTATTTGGGCCTTCTTTCACTTTGCCTTAGTCTGGCTAAAGGTTTGTCAATTTAGTTTATCTTTTCAAAAAATCAACTTTTTGTTTCATTGATCTTTTGTATTGTTTTCTTCATTTAAAATTCATTTATGCTCTGATTTTTATTATTTATTTTCTTCAACTAATTTTGGGGTTGTTTTGCTCTTGCTTGTCTACTTGTTTAAGAAATCTCATTAGGTTATTTATTGAAAGTTTTTCTTCCACTGTGTTCACTGTATTCCATAGGTTTCGATATGTTGTATTTCTATTATCATTTGTTTCAAGAAATTTTTCAAGTTCCTTCTTAATTTCTTTATTGACATACTGGTCATTCAGGAGCATATTGTTTAGTTTCCATATATTTGTATAGTTTAAAAAATTCTTCTTGGTATTGATTTGTAGTTTTATTTCATTGTCGTCAGAGAAGATGATTAATATTACTTCAGTTCTTGGAATGTTTTAACTTGTTTTGCGATCTAACATATGGTCTACCCTTGAGAGTGATCCATGTGCTAAGAGAAAAATGTGTATTCTGCAGCCACTGGATAAAATATTATGTAAATATCTATTCGGGTACATTTGTTCTATGGTGCAGAATAAGTCTGATGTTTCTTTGTTGGTTTTCTGTCTGGGAGTTTTGTCCAATGCTGAAAGTGGGATGTTAGAATCTCCAGCTACTAATGCATTGGAGTCTATCTCTTTGGTTCCATATATTTGCTTTATATATCTAGTTGCTCTAGTGTTGGGTACATATATATTTACAATTGTTATACCCTCTTGCTGAATCAACCACTTTGTCATTATATGATGACCTTTTCTGTCTCTTCTTATGGTTTTTGTCTTGAAATCTATTTTGTCTTATAAGTATAGCTACTGATGATATTTTTTGGTTTCCACTGGCATGGGATATCTTTTTCCATCTCATTATTTTCTATCTTTGTGTGTGTTTCTAGGTGAAGTGTTTTTTTTGTTTTGTTTTGTTTTGTTTTGTTTTTTGTAAGCAATAGATCATTGGGTCTTGTTTTTTCCATCCATTCAGCCACGATATGTCTTTTCATTGGAGAATTTGGTCCACTCACATTCAATGTTATTATTAATAAATAAAGGCTTCCTCTTCCATTTTGTTATTTGTTTTCTGGTCTTCTTTCTTTCATTATTTTCTGTCTTTCTTTTAGTTAAGGTGTTTTTTTCTGGTGGTATGCTTTAATTTTTTGCTTTTTATTTTTTATGTACCCATCTTGTTTTTAAATTCAAAGTTTCCATAAGGCTTGCAAATACTATTTGGAACCCATTATTTTAAACTGATGACAGTGTAACACTGATGCATAAACAAATAAATATGCAAAAATATTAATAGAAACTCTACACTTTAATTTGTTGTCTCCCTCCCCCACTTTTTAACTTTTTATTATTTCTCTCTCTGTCTTTTTTGTATTATGTCTTGAAAATTTGTTGAGGTTATTATTTTTGATAGGTTTATCATTTAGTCTTTCTACTTAGGTCAAGCGTTTACATCCCACAATTACAGTGTTATGCTAGTATGTGTTTTTCTGTGTGCTTACTATTATCAAAGAGTTTTGTACCTTCAAGTGCTTTCTTCTTGCTCATTAACACTCTTTTTTTTCAGATTGAAAAACTTCCTTTAGTGTTTCTTGTAGGACAGATCTAGTGCTGATGAAATCCCTCAGCTTCTGTTGTCTAGGAATGTCATTATTTCTCATTCATGCTTAAGGAATATGTTTGTTGAATATATCATCCTAGGATAAAAGTTTTTTTCCTACAGCACTTTTAATATGTCATACCACTCTCTCTTGTTTCCACTGAAAACTCTGCTGCCAGATGTATTTGAGCATTGTAACATGCTATTTGTTTCTTTTCTCTTTCTGCTTTTTGGATTCTTTCTTCATCCTTGACCTTTGGGAGTTTGATTATTAAATGCTTTGAAGTAGTCTTCTTTGTGTTAAATCTGCTTCGTGCTCTATAACCTACTTGTACTTCAATGTTAATATTTTTCTCTAGGTTTGGGAAGTTCTCTGATATTATCCTTTTGAATAAATGTTCTATTGCTGTCACTTCTCTACCTCCTCTTTAAAGCCAATAACTCTTAGATTTGGCCTTTTGAGGCTTTCTTGATATATGTTGTAGGTGTGCTTTATTATTTTTTATTGTCTCCTCTGTGTATTCTCAAATAGCTTGTATTCAACCCCAGTAATTCTTCTGCTTGATCAATACTGCTACTAAGAGACTCTGATGCATTTTTGAGCATGCCAATTGCATTTTTCAACCCTAGAATTTCTGCTTGATTCTCTGTAATTATTTCAATCTGCTTGTTAAATTTATCTTGGGAATTCTGAATTCCTTCTATGTGTTATCTTGAATTTCTTTGAGTTTTCTCAAGACAGTTATTTTGAATTATCTGTGTGAAAGGTGAGGTCATGTTTTCTTGGATGGTGTTGATGCTTATAGATGTTTGTCAGTGACCGGCCATTAGGTATTTATTGTAGTCTTCACAGTCTGGGCTTGTTTGTGCCTGTCCTTCTTGGGAAGCCTTTCCAGATATTCAAGGGGACTTGAGTCCTAGGCCCAATAACAATGTGATTTTTGCCAACTCACAGAATTACTACCATGGTGGTCTCAGATGAGATCTAGAATAATTCTCTGGATTACCAGACAGACTCCTATTTTTTTTTTTCTTTCTCTTAAACAAATGAAGTCTCTCTCTCTTTGCTGAGCCATCTGGATCTGGGGATATAGTGATTCAAGCTGCTCTGTAGCCACCATCACTGGGATTGCACTGGGTCAGACCTGAAGCCAGCATAGGACTAGACCTGCCCAAGTCCCATCCCTTCAGAGCAGTGAGTTCCCCTGGGCCTTTGGTTGGTTTAGAGTTGCTGTCTGGTGGCCAGGGATTGGAGTAAAAAACATTAGCAATTTGCTTGATGTTCTATTCTACCGCAGCTAAGCTGGTACTCAAATTACAATACAAAGTTCTTCCTGTTCTTGCCTCCCCTTTCCATAGGCAGAGGAGCCTCTTCCTGTGGCCACTACTGATTTTTTTCATGAATACACATTTTCTTGTTTCTCTGAATGCATACATATGTGTGTGTAGTCTGTAGGTAACATACAAACACTATATGTTTATATATATAGTATTCATATATATAGAATGTTCATATTACATATGAAATGTTTTAGATTGTTATCTAACATATTTCATATTGTTAGACGGTGATATGGTTTGGCTGTGTCCCCACCCAAATCTCATCTTGAATTGTAGCTTTCATAGTTTCCATGTGTTGTGGAAGGGACCTGGTGGGAGATAACTGAAGCAGTTTCTCCCATACTGTTCTCATGGTATTGAGTAAGTCTCACAAGATCTGTTTTGTAAGGGGTTTCCCCTTTCACTTGGCTCTTTTTTCTCTCTTGCCTGCCACCATGTGAGACATGCCTTTCTCCTCCTTGCCTTCTGCTATGATTGTGAGGCCTCCCTGGACAGGTGGAACTGTGAGTCCATTAAACCTTGTTTTCTTTATAAATTACCCATAGTCTCAGGTATGACTTTATTAGTAGTATGAGAACTAATACAGTGGTTTTCTAAAGCTTCTTTAGAAGTTCTGAGCACATAAATGGTGTTTATTCATTGCTAGATACATTATAGGGTATCTGGGAGGTTTACTTGGAGAATCCACAATGTCAGAATATTTAGGCCCTTTCTGTTCAGAATTTCCAACAGAAGAGACAATATTTGCTTACCTTCCAGAATTCTGGGAACAGAAAGGGGAACAAAGATTCCCAAACAGAACCTATAAACCCAATATAAGATATAAGCCAAAATTATAAACCACTTGGAGGGAATGGCAAAAAGTTAGGACTATTCAGGTTAACCCAGAAAGTCTGACTATTTTAATCTTTTAAACATATAAACCAGAATACTTTGAACTGTATGATAACATGATTATCAGTTAAAGAAAATATGTGTCGGCAGTAATCCCAGCCAGCACTTTGGGAGGCCGAGGCAGGCAGATCACCTGAGGTCAGGAGTTCAAGACCAGACTGACCAACATGGAGAAACCTTGTCTCTACTAAAAAAATACAAAATTAGCCAGGCATGGTGGCTCATGCCTGTAATCCCAGCTACTTGGGAGCCTGAAGCAGAAGAATTGCTTGTACCCTGGAGGCAGGGGTTGTGGTGAGCCAAGATTGAACCATTGTACTCCAGCCTGGGGAACAAGAGTGAAACTCTGTCTCAAAAAAAAAAGGAGAAATAAAACAATATGTCAAATAATTCACATGTGTTTTTAGGTATGTTGAATTACCAGCTGTTTTAGATAATCAGGCTTTCTCCCAGAGCTACTAGAGGGAGTGCTGCCTTTCTAGTACCTTGATTTCACCCTCTTAATGGTGAAGTAAGAAAGTAACATTTCTGTATGTTTCTTTCTTTTTTTTTTTGGAGAGGAAGAAAGAGGAAGAGGAAGAGTGAGAGAGAACGGGGGTGTTGTTTTATTGCCCCGGCTAGAATGCAGTCTAAAAGTGGGTGTGCCTATAATTGTGCTTAATAATGAAGACATGAAAAAAAAAATGAGGGAAAAAAATAACAAACAAGCAGCCAACCAATATTTCATTTAAACCTGTAAATAGTGTGATGTGGTACTGATAAGAGTGTATATTTTGTGTATTTAAAGTGGAGAGCTCTATAAATGTTAATTAAGTTTACTTATTCCAGATCTGAGTTCAAATCCTGGATATCGTTGTTAATTTTTTGTCTCATTGATTTGTCTAATATTGATGTTGAAGTCTCCCACTATTATTGTGTGGGAGTCTAAGTCTCTTTATAAGTCTTATATATCTGTGTATTCCTGTACTGGGTCATACATATTTAGGATCTTCTTGCATTGATCCTTTTATCATTATGTGATATCCTTCTTGCTTCTTATGATCTTTGTTGCTTAGAAGTCTATTTTATTAGGGGCAAAAATTGCAACTCCTGCTTTTTATTTATTTATTTATTTATTTTTGCTCTCCATTTAGTTGGTAAATCTTTCTTCATCCCTTTGTTTTGAGTCTTTGTGTATCCTTGCATGTGACATGGGTCTGGATGCAGCAAACCAATGGGTTTTGGCTTTTTTTGCCTGTCTGTGTCTTTGGATTGAGGGATTTAGTCGATTTAAATTTAGAATTAATAATAATATATGTGAGTTTAATACTGCCATTTAATGTTAGCTGGCTGTTTTGCCAATTAGTTGATGTAAATTCTTGATTATGTTGATGCTCTTTACTTTTTGGTATTTTTTAGAAAGTC